AGCAGCGGGCCAATACACCCAATCTGCAAAGCAAGATACGAATAAGCCGAGCCACGTGGAAGATGATGTGTTCCATAGAGCCTAGGAAGAAGCACAGCCGGTTCCACCACATCTCCCGTGAACATGTGACTTAGCACGTTGGCACCGCCGACTTCGACATCCACAGTTCCGACAATCTTTGTCCTCTTCCTTTCTTCCTTCAGTTTCACCTCATCCTTGCTACTTTTTATGCGTTTTTTGCAGCTATTAAATGCAGAAAACGCATATTGACGAGGGGTTATCTGTATGTCTGCGTGTTCGCCTGTGCCAATTTTTCATCTCAAGGCCTACAAAAGGTACAGGGCTGAAACTTTGGCAACTTAATCTACATACACGTATGGGCTCAAATTCCCAAAATGGGCACTCTTGCCCGCGTGGTACCCACATATGGGCCTGCCAAAATTTTTTCGGGCAAGTTGATAACTCGGGAACCTAAAAAACTAGAAAGCTAAAATCTTGAGGGGAAGTTCCCCGTCCAAGTAGGTATTAATGAGCTCAAGCCCAGCCCCCGGGTAGCGTGGGGGCTGTGTTTGAGCTCATTAATACCTACTTGGAAAAACTTTGGCGGACGCACGTACGGGCCCGTCACGATTTTTTTCGGGTAAGTCGCTAACTGGAGAATTCGAATAGCTAGAAGACTGTAATTTTAAGAGGAAATTCCCCGTCCGCCTAAGTCTCATTGAGCTCAAACTCAGACTCCGGATATGCGTCGTAACTACGTACATGTCCGTCAAAGTTTTTTTTTTTTGGGGTAAGTTGCTAACTCGGGAAACGGAAAAGTTAAAAGGTTGTAATTTTAAGGGAACTTTCCTGTTCACGTAAGTTTCAGTGAGCTCAAACCCAGACACCGGGTATGCATGGTACCCACGTACGGGCCCGCCAAAGTTTTCTTCATGTAAGTCGCTAACCTGACAATTTGAAAAGCTAAAACAGTGTAATTTTAAGGGGGTGTTTCCTGACAGTTTTGGCGATCAGTTTTAATTTGCTTAGTTGGAAGCATTTGCCGGAAAAACCGGTGCCGGTGGCGACAAAAACTGCGTTGGCC